TTTGAATACATAGAATTTCCAATTGCTTCTACAGTTCTTGAGTATCCTGAAGTCTGAAAGAAACCAGTTCAAAAATTTAGGTGTACCACTTAAGCCCCAAATGTATTTTTTTACAAAAAAACAATTGGACTTTCTTGGTGTTTTCTTGGAAAACATTTTGCTTCTCATCAGCTGATTGGATGAGAACAGAAACATTTTGGAAACCACTTTTTAAATATTTTTATTTTTTTTCTATTTTTCTTAAACCTTTTTCTTTTTTCTTGCTCATTGTATGCTCTTTGCTTTCTTCCTTTTTTCCTTTACATTAGTTTGGATTAATTTTTAACTTTTAAAAAAAGTTTCAATAGAAATTTAATTTTAACGTATGTTCAACCAGATTATCAAGACAGAATGCTGGCAAATTATGTAATTTCGGGAGTTGTAATAAGCAGTAGAAAATCAAAGAATGGCTTAATGATAAGCTTTCTCTGGAATGAAAGAGCAGTGATCTATCTGATCCTGAAGTCTTAGTGATCTTCATCCATGAAGTCGGTACAACAAATCCTCTTGCTAGATACAGGAAATCCACAACATACAACCACAATCGGACCAGAAATCTGATCATAAGTCATTGCAGTTGTAAGTCAAGACTGGACTTGATTTTTTGACATTTTTTGTGGCAGTTGTTAACTGAATCACATAAGTCATTAAGTGAATGGTGCCATCATTAAACAAAGCCATTCTTCCAAATAGGCACTTTTTGCTGGAAAATGGAAAAACAAGCAACCCCCACCCTCAACCCAAATCGGAGTCATGGGACATTGCAACTGATCGTATAGGCAAGTGCCTGAAATGCAGTCACAGGTGACGGTGGGGAAGGCAGAGCATTTTACATTGCCCAGATTTGGAAACCATTGTTAACTCTGAAATCAGGTTGTAAAACAACCAGTCATAAGTTGAGGACTGCTTATGTGCTGGGAATTGAAACTGAGAACATTTCTACTACCCTGCCAAACTTTGCAGCTTTCCAGCTGTATAATGCTTGATGTAACTATCAATAGCTATTTCTTACTTTCCGGTTTTTCTAATTATACTTTTAAAACTCTTTAATTCTCTATTAGTGTCAACAGTTTTCCAATTTTTTTGGAGGGGGGACCTCCAATTATCTTTCTGTCATAAAATCATGCCATATCCTTGATTTCTTGTATCACCTTTTCCATTACTTTTCAAACCTAGCTAACGTGCTGCAAGTCCTTAAATGGAATCTGGATCCCTGCCGTGAATTTGATTCACTCCTGCCGTTAAATACAAACTTACATTCACACAAACACTGCAAATCATACTTCAGAAATAGATGTTTATCACATGTTTCTGTGAGTGCCTGTGACCTGCTACACATGGAAGTTATGATCCAACACAAACAATAGTAAGGGTGTTTTGTTCACTGCCACAGATGCCTAACCCTTGGGACCAAGAATTGTACTCAAGTGTCACATGAGAGCTCCACACCAAAACTGGGCAGATTAAGAATAAAAGGGACCCGCTTTTTATAAATCAAGTTTATTAAAAATTAGATCAATTAAATACAATTATTATTTCCAGGTACATTACCCTTTCTTCTTTCACATAAAAAATACAGGCTAAAAGGAGGGACTAGGAAATGTTGAATGTGCACTTTTCACCCTCAGAATTTCTGTTCCTCAGTTCACATTTCCTACATTTTAAAAAAGAAATGCCCTTTCAGTGATATCATGTGAAAATTTATATACTGTAAGTAATTCTTAACTTTGCTTTCTAATGAAGAAGTTTTGGAAAGAACATACATTGACAGCAAAATGCTTTTTTCTGCTCACTTTCACATGAACAGATGTGACCTCTTTAAAGTAAAGTCTTTATACTGTGTTAAAGGAAGAACAGGAATTATAATTTTCTTCAGAATAAATTTAATTATCAAATTTTTATGGCTGCCCATCTCACACAAGCTGGGCAGCATACAATGAAACCAATAATTTATTAAATTTATTATTTACCAATAATTTATTAAAATAATTAATAAAACAAGGGTCATGAGAGAATTAAAATCATAAATAGTTTAGTGCGATATAGCTACTGCATGGGTTCCTTGCTGTCAGGGGATGCCCAGGCCTGGTGGAAAAAAAACCCCTCACCCTGTTTTAAGACAGAGGTCCCCAACCTTTTGGGCACCAGGGACCGGTTCCATGGTGAGAGGTTTTTCTATGGACCGGAGGGGACGTGGTTTCATATACTGCCTGCTTTGCTTGTTTGCGCAGACCAGTTTCTGGATGACGCGGACCGCTGCCGGTCCACGGGCCGAGGATTGTGGACTCCTGTTTTAAGAGCATTCCCAAAGGCCATAAGGGTTTGGCAATAATATACCGAAGAGTGGGTACTGAGGCAACAAAGGCTTGTCTCTTAAGTCCCACCATATGGAATTCCTTGGCAGATGGGACCCATAGCATGCCTCTCTGCTGGATCTGATGGGACATGCAGATGTAATCAAGGAGCGGCAGTCCCTCAGATTACCTGGTCCCGTGCTATTTAGGACTTTAAAGGTCAAAACCAACACCTTAAATTGGATCCCGAAGCAAACTGGTAACCAACACTGCTCACAGAACATGTCATGTGTCCTCTAAAGAAACACATAACTGCCCATGCAGCTACATTTTGCATCAGTTGAAACTTCTGAATGCTCCCTGAAGGCAGCCCCGTGAACTTCTGTTGTGAAAGATAACAAAATAGATTAGTCTCAATCCTTACCCAGGAAATGGAATTTGATAAAATGAATGTTTTTGATTTAATATAGGTAGTCCTCAATTTGTGATCACTCAAAGTTCTGACAGACCTACCTGGCGGGGATAGTTATGACTGTAGGATGCAAAATTCCAATGGTTGGGCTCCCATCCCCACAATCATATGGCTGTGCTTCCGACACTCAGCAACCAGGCCACATTTACAGCTTTTGCAGCATTGCAGTTACATGACTATGTTTTAACACCAGACAAGCTATCTAAAATATATAAAGGTATTTTAGGTGAATATTGGAAATGAAAAATGTAAATAAGGGACCTTTTACCATTTATGCTGGACATGTGATAAAGCAAAGAAATATTGAGTAGGATTCATATTCATATTCTAACACAGTTTTGCTGAAAACCAGCATCAACTTCTGGTTTTTGGCAAAACCATGCTTAACAACCACCACAAAAAGGTCATAAACGTGGCTCAGTCACATGATTTACCCACTTTTAGACTATCATGAGTTACAACCATGATGGGTAGGCTCATTATAGTTATAACTCAAGGACTACCTATAGCAAAGTACTTTTGGTAGGTCTCCCTGGCTTGAAACCTTCTATACATATTACTGCAGAGAGCATAGGATTTCTCAGATTAACAGCTTGAACAGGTATTGTTAATGTTGGGCTTTCTTACTCACATGTTTGGCTTACTTATTTAGCACTATACACAAAATTACAACTGTTTTAAATTTGAAGGTTATCAGGCCACTTCTTGAGACACTACCCATTGTTGATAGCATCATTTTTAAAAATACAGATCTTTAATCACTAATATCATGATTATCAAAAAAATATTACATTATAAGAGTTTATTTTTTATTATTGCCAAGTCACCCTACTCGTAACACTTTTCTAAACTGCTTGGGGTCAGAACCCAGAATGAATCCATCCAGACTTATTTGTAGACAGCACAAGCACTATTCTGAAATTGGTTTCAAATTTCTCTCCAGTGCCTTGTTAAGGAAGGCATTTGTACCAGCCATTACTCTGTCCTGAGAAGGGAAGTTATCTTCTATCTTCTGTTCCTTTCCCTTGCCATAATGCAAATTTGCACAGCTTCCTTCTCACAATTTTGTTTATAAAATGTCAAGTACTCCTCATACAGAGAGAAGCAGAAATCAGTCTTGCTTTTTTAACATACTTTAGTCAGCTCCAAAGAAATTAAAGGAGAGAAAACATTACTTTTCCTCCTTGGAGTCTGAAGGGTCAGGACAAGTAAAAGTTCTCTTCAATACATTTATAAATTATATTCACTTCACAAATCCTGTTCCTTTGCCAGGTATTTCATCAGCACCACAATTTTTCTAGCTACCCAGAATAGGACACGTGTCTCTTAAGTCTCTACACATCCCTACCTTCCCAAAAATTATTGAAAAACAGGTTAAGATTAGGTTAGAATGGATTAGATTCTTCTTTCTACTGTATTCCATTTCACTATGTGAAAAACTGTATTTGTATCTCTAAAGAGAACCATAAAAAGGAAAAATAATTCAATAGGCATTACTTTCAGGATGTGTAATCAGAGAAGTGAAAAATCTTTGCCTAATAAAGTGCTTTTCACACAGCTGTTTAAAAAATATTTGGAAGAAAATCTTTTCTTTATTGAAAGAATACAAGCATACACATCATTGCTCAACATCAAACTTCTTTCTGCATAAGCCACTTTTATTAACTATAGGACATGCAGAAATTCAACAAGTATAGCCTTATTTCCCACTGATGGAAGGCCCATATAAACCTTGTTTACCTTGTTTCAGTTAAAAATAAAAGTAAAAAAGAAAGCTGGTTCCATTAGTGGTTAAAATGTCAGAAGCACCACTGGGGAGGCCTTCTTTTAAATTCATTAGCTGGGTCATTTTAGGCTATTCTCTCAGCCCAACCTAGCTCAGACGTTGTTGAAGGATCAGATGAAGGGATATCCCTGCCTACTATGATCAAATAGATAATAGTAATATAATAAACTATTAACACTCCCAAATGCACGATTTTAGACAGAACCTTATCCACAGAAAGCGGCTGTGCTCATGCAAACACTACGCGAAACGGTACAGCCTCTCTTCCATCGCTACTGGGGCTCCGCGCGAGCGGCGACCAAAATCTACAACCGGGATTTCGGCTTGACGGACCGCTCCGCAGGTTTTCCCCCGGCGCCGCCCCCGTGGAGCCACCCCATTCGGCCCATCCCTCCTTTCCTCTACTCACAGCGGAGAAGTTGTGCGGGCCGCACATTTCGCCTCGGAACTTGCAGGAGAGGAGCATGTCGTCGAGGCGGTGCCCGAGACGATCGACGAACTCTTCGCTGATGCCACCGAAGTGGCGCGGTGGCAAGAAGAGCCGGAAGTCGGCCAACTTGGCGAACCAACGCAGGCGCTCCGGTTCGGCGCGCAGGAGCTCAGCAAGCAGCGGCCGCGCCGTCCGGTTGGGCAGAAGAAGGCCGAGCCAGTTGCCGGCGTAGTAGAGGTCGCCTTTGGAGAGGCGCGGGAAACGGAGCGGATTATTGTTGCACAACGTGACGGCGGGGAAGGCCAGCTGACGGCTCCACTCGGTGCGCACCGTCGTGTGAGACGGGAAGGCCAGCCAATGCAGAAGCCGATTAGACGACCACGCCAGGAGCAGACCCAGCGAGGTTCCCAGGGCCAGAAGCCACAGCGCCCGCCGCCACGGGGCTGCCCGCCGCCAGCGTACCACCCGCAGACCCGGCAACCTCGGACGCTGTCTGGGCCGCCCCCTCGAAGCCCGCCGCCGCCGTTGCGCCGCCGCCATGCGAGCTCCCCGCCTCCCGCGCCCTCGCAGGGGGGGCAGCCGTGGACCAGCAGCAGCGGTAGCATCCAGAGGAGGGAGGGCGGGAGCGCTTGGCCGAAGGGACGGCCGCTCCACTCACTTCAGACGGATGCCGGCGGGCGGAATCCTCGTGGCACCTCAGGGAAGCCCGGAACCCGATCGCCTCCTCTCCCACCAGCTTTGCCGAGGTAGGCGTCGGTCTCTAGCGCTGCTCATCTCCGCAGATCCAGGCGAGGAAGAGGAAAGGCGGGAGGAAGAAGAGAGGAAGAAGAGAAAGGAGGCGGCGCTGAGCTCCGCAGTTGCTTCCCTGGCTACCCCTCAGCGCCCTTCGCTAACAGCGGAGGGAAGACTCAACGGGGAAGTAGGAATGAAAGGGGGGGCTCTCAACTTAGCCCCCCCCCGGCCGACGGGACTACAGTACTCCTGCTGCTTGCAGCAGATCTACCGCCAGACTTGGCCCGCGAAGAGCAGCCTCTTCCGCGGGGAGAGCGAGGATGCGCTGCGGCTCCGCCTTCTCCAGAAGGCTGGGGGAAGGGGCGTGTACGACCAGCCGGTGCGGGTGGGGGGGAAGGTAAGAGGTGAGATTAAATCGGTTTTAAAGCGCGGATATTATTATAATTGCCTTGTGATGAACTGAGGCCAGCATCAACCTTGCCGAAGGAAAAAGATGTGTCATAAATCATTTGGCTTCTGAACTGAATTGTACATCTTAGCCGAGACTGTGGCGTTTCCAAAAGTTATTTTTAAAGGGAGGGAGGGGACGAGAAAACGCTTACCAGGGCTTTAGGTTTCTTTCTCACACGTGTGTGACTGGGGGTTGAGGAGAACGCAATGGAATTGTGCACCAGCAAGAAAGATGTTACTCGTTTATACGTTCCGATAGGAAACGGGAGTCGCTAGGTCTGATCCTCTGATTTAAGGTTAAAGGTTTCATGATAGACCGTCACATTTATTTCTTTTACCATACTTTTCCAAATATTTGAATGTATAGAATCCTCCTGATGCAAGACCATCTGTGCTCTTTCTAAATTTGCCAGTTTTTTTACATTTTACATAAATTTATTTCTGAGTATTTTGGTAGCCTGTTTTTTGTATAATGCTTATTCTGAGACTGATTAATGAGCCATGCCTATGCATGAAAATAGGGAGGGAGGGTAGAGGAGAAGACAAGATGTTCTGGAGGGATCAACAAAGTAACAATACACAAAGGTACCTCTTGTAAAATTTGGGACCAAAGAAGCAACAGGTGGCACATTACATTCTAGTTTCCTGTCAAAATTCTGCCTTAATAGTTAATTAAATTATACAGTCCACTTCCTGTGGAAGCTCTGGAATTGATGGCTTTTTAAAAATGATTAAACACTTCTGTTGTGTCCTGAGCCTGCAAGATGCAGGCTCGGGACGTTGTAAGAGTCCCGGGCATTTGCAGAAGCTGCCCGGGACCAGACTGAGCGGCGCCAGCCTTGTGCGCATGCGCAAGGCGGGAAAAGCCCGCCTCATGATTGGTTGAACTTGCCTGGGGATCAGAGGGTATAAATAGAGGCCTGTGTGCCTCTGCTCTGGTTGTTCGAGAGTGGAGCAAACAATAAAGACTTGTTGGAGATGAATCGTCTCAAGCGCCATTATTTCCAGGACTTAACACTGGCGACGAAGGTGGGATTCAGTCTCTACAGCTAAGAAAAGCTAGAAGACTCACCCAAAGAAGTCCGGGAAAGAAACGGCGTGGAAGTCAGCGTTATCCTGCCAGTACGAAATCGCTGGAGGGTGCGTGCGACCGAAGAAGAAGAAATCATGATCATCGATCATGGATAAGGTTGGGCAATTAGAGGCTTTCGACGTCTCTCACCCCGAGAGGTGGGAATCTTAGGTGGCAAGAGTCGAGACGTATTTTCGCATCAACCAGATTCGAGAGGAAGGCTTAAAGGCTGCCACATTGTTGTGCGTTTGTGGGCAAGACGCCTTTGAGATCGCCGAGAGTTTAATCTCCCCAGACTCGCTGGAAGCGGTATCGTACTCCGACCTCAAGAAAACCTTAAAGGAACACTTCCAGCCCAAGCAATCAGTCATGGCTTGGAGGCACACATTTCAACAGAGAGATCAGCGAGTCGGAGAATCAGCAAAAGACTACGTTGCGGCCTTGAGAAGAGCAGCTAAACCGTGCGACTTCAAGGACTTAGAAGAAAGACTTCGCGATCGTTTTGTATGCG